TCCTTGAAAGATTATTCTTAAAAAAAAAATTCATACTTCTTCACGAAGAGACTCATCTTATCTTCATCAAGATCATTTTTAGAATCTCTATTTTCTTTTTCCTTATCCTTTTCTTTGCTTGGTGTTGAGGCTTTTAAGGCAATTCCTTTACTTTTCTTGGTGGCTTGTTCCTTCAAGGTTATTCTACTTAGCTCCATTTCATACTCTTGGAGTTTGCCAAACAAGGTTGCAAGATCTATGGTCTTCAAATCTTTTGATTTCGTTATAGCCGTCAACTTGAGTTGTCATTCCCTATTGTGCACACTTCTCATCACCTTAGCAATCAACTCAAGATTAGTAAAATATTTATCTAGATCTTTTAAATGAGTGACAAGGTGTGTGAATCTTTTTTGCATACTTTGGATGCTTTAATTTTCATGAATCTCAAACATTTCAAATTCTCTAGTGAGTGCATTTAATTTTGTAAATTTAACATCACTAGTTCCTTCATGGGTTATTTGAAGAATATCCCATATTTCCTTAGCATTCTTACAATTTGAAACACTGAAGTATTCATCACGACCTAAGGCATTTGTAATCAAGTTTTAAGCTTTAACATTCTAATTTCCTTTCTTAACTTCATCTTCGGTGTAATCATCTATATCTTTAGGAACATCTTCATTTTTCTCATTTTTTATAGTAGGTGCTGTATACCCTTTTTCAACTATGTTTCGTACTCTTAAATCATTAGATTGGAGAAACTTTTCCGTCCGACTCTTCCAATAAGAATAATCGACGCCATTGAAAAATAGAAGTCTAATACTAGAAGATCCCTCAAGGGAAATATCATGGTTCAAAGAAGCCATCCCTTCTCTTGAAGCGGTTAAACTCTTTACACAAGAGATCAAGCTCTGATACCACTTGTTGGACAAGTGACTTCAATACTCAAGAAGGGGAGTGAATTGATTTTTAAAAATCTTATCGCAAAGTGCCTCCTTTGATATTTTAGAGAGTGTTTCTTTAATAAAATGATTTAACAAGGAAAAATCTAAGGACTCGTTTGGTGGACAAGATAGGATAAGGGTAGGATATGATATGGAGCTGATAAGCCGATATCATGTCCTGTGTTTGATGAGCACCTAATTAGAAATCTAATAAGATTATGTAGAAGGAGTAAGGGGAAAGAAAAAACAAAATATAATGCAATAAATACAAATATATTGGGTAGCATGGGGATATATTAGGTATCCAATATTGGTATCATATCCTGTTGAATCCTAACCCAGCTCCCCCCATGGGATAAGAAATCATGTATTAGATAGGATAAAATGAGACAATAGGATAAGCTAATCATATCCTATTGACCCACCAAACAAGAGGTAAAAGTAGGATATGATAAGTTATCATATACTATCTTCTTTATCAGGTTCTCTAAACAGGCCCTAAGTGTGAGAGCAAGTGTATAATCAATAAAATAAGCAAGCAAATAGATAGACATAATCTATAAATGCAATTTCAATATTAAAGTAAGGAGTTTAAAGTTAGAGAAATTGCAAACTAGATGTATCCTGGTTCGGTCACCACCACCGTGACCTACGTCCAGACTGAAGCCGCTCGATCAAACTTTTTCACTAGCTATCAAGCTTGAGGGTGCTTGACAAACCACTACAACCTTTCAAGACTTCGGGCTATTGATGCCTTACAATTTTTCACTCCAAATTTTTCTTTATAAATTTGGTGACCTTTCAAGTGTAAATGGTTCACTCCACTAACTATTCAAGAAATCAAATGAAGGTGTTTAACAATGGCTAAGTACTCTCAAAGTACAGTTATACAAGTTGAAGAACTATGGGTATTGACTTCTCATAAGAATAAAGCTCAAAGAGTATTTATGATCAAAATGAATGAGAATAAGCAAATGATATGAATTAAATCAAGAATTATGATCAAGAAGAGTTGTCCAATCAATAGAACATTAGTCTCTATTTATAGAGGGCCCCCATGAGCCTTTGTACAACCATTTTAGCAAAACTAGTCGTTTATAGCCGTTATTTTCGTCCTCTGGTGCAAGAGGAAATCGATTCTCAATGAGTGGGAATCGATTCCCAACTTTTCCAGAGAGTGGGAATCGATTCCAGCTCATAAGGAATTGACTCCCAACCTGTTGAAAAGGTTGGAAATATGTTTACAAGCATTCTTCTTTATTTTAAATCCCTTTCAAACATGTTTAATTGTTTGATTGGATCTTGAAAACATATTTTTATAAATACGTGATGCTATAAAACCTTTGTGTAATCGAATGATGATTTAATGCACGTACTTTAACTGAAATGTTTTTGAGCTTATTCATACAAGAAGTCAATTATCCTGACAATTAATTCTATGTCCTAAAGTATATTACTTGAGATTTCTTGGACTTAGATTCTTCCTTTGAAGCTTGAATCTTGAAGGACTTAATGAATGTTAGTTGTTTATTTCTTTTTGATTGTTGCAACTTGAAGTCTTCCTTCCATGCTTTGTCTGTTATCATCAAAATCATAAAGTTTTTATATTCTGCATTGGTTCTACATATTGAAGTTGTTTGCCTTTGTTTGATTAGTACTTGATGATGGTGATGGATATGTTGATTGATATTGGATTGATTGGTAAATGTATGCATGGTGGCAGGTAGCCTACTTTTCTTAAATTTTTTTTGTATATATAAAGGTAAAATCTACGTTTTGTATTACGATTTTACGTTTTACGATTTTTCATTCACTTTCCGTTTTTAGGTAAAAACTCAATTTTAACTGCCTTGGGAATATACGAGAAAGTCAATCTCTCATGGTGGGTGATATCTCTCTACTATCATATTAAAATTATGGAAACAAAAAATAATGAAAGGCGAACAAGGATTCTTCTTGTTAGATTCTAGATACCATGTAGAATAACAAAAGACGAAAGAAACATTAAAATAAATCTGTATATTGAATTGATTCATGAGAGTACAATATCTAAAGAAACACTAATGAGCTTAGCTTAGACCTAACCTAAATCCTAATGAAATAAGAAAATAGATCTTTACAAATAATAACGATATTCTAAAGATATTCTTTCCAACACTTTCTTTCTTGAATTTACCAAATCCATGGAATGAGACGAATTTATGTCAAGATTGGGACACAAGGAGAGATCACGAAGCATTGTGCACTTCTAAATAGCTAAGAATCTTATTGATAATGACCCATTCTAGTGAAGTTTTTATGTTTATTGTTCAACACAATTTATTTTTGGGTCTCGTTATTTATGTTAAGGCAGTGGTATCTAAATATATGAGATACCCTATGGTCTGGTTGTTTTCCAAATGATGTGAGAACAATAGGGTAGTGAATCATAGGTTTGATGGGAAATCATGTTCTTCTGATAATAACAAGGAGAATTGAGAGAGAATTTGTTGTGAAAAACACAATGTCTAGCCAAATAATTGTCATCCCTTTGTATGTTGATAATATGTTTTCCTATTATTAAAATAAGAGTTCTTTTATTTCCTTATTTAGTGTCTCATTATTAGGTTTTTAACAATTTCTCGGAACATTTTTTTTTATGAAATTGAAACATGGAATTTAATTGAAATTGTGCCTTGGACAATTATATAAAGAGTCTATCATTTCTCCTATCACAATAAATAAAATTATCTTCAGCAATTTCAAAATTACGTAGTTTCAAGAATTGAGGGAATAAACGAAGGGTGTTTTGGTAAAATTTATTATATAACAAAATATATGCCTAAAATATCTTTAATTAATTCTCTTAATTTTCAAAACGACTTAGTTTTGGGATTGCTGAAGATTATTTGATCTTTTGTGACAAAAGAAACACTTTACTCTTATATAAATAGATTACAAAGGCACAAGAATACAAAACCACATAATATATCTTGTTAATTTAATTTTAATTAAGTTAGGGTTAAATAAATTTTAGTTCTCATATTTTTATTTTTATTTTTGGATCAATTTAATTCTCACATTTTTATTCTATGCTTATTCAAGTTTTTTTTTTTTTTTTTTTTTTGGTTTTGTTCAATCTATCTCCTTACTTACTTATTATATTTTATGTTTTTTTATCATCTAATACATCATTATTTCAATGATATGGATTGAGAGACAACATTGCGTATAATTAATAAATTTTATAGAATAAAATAATCAATTCAACAAAAATAATTTAAGTTTTAAGAAAAGAAAAGATTAGGGATCTCTGGGCTTTGGATTTGAAGCTTAAGGTCCAGCCCAGTCTAAATTAGGGCACCTCATAAACCCTAATTCGTGCCTCACCTTTCCCTGTCTATATAATCGAACTTACTCCCACTTTTCTTATCATCTTCTTCTTTTTTTTCTTCATTGCTCTTGTGGGGAATCAAATTGGGTTTCGGGGTTCATTTGGATTTGCCTTTTCGGGGCCCGAATTTGCGTCAAGTCTGCATCTTTATGGAATGTGGTATCTGTATTTCTGTGATCTATGCTATGAATTTTTCTTTTTGTATTGTTTTGAAAGTAAAGTTTTGATTTTTATAGCTGTGCTGTGATGAGACAATTTCGTGGACTAGAGTTTCTGATCTGGGTATCAAGCTCAGAAGTTGATTATCAAACCCTTGGCTGTCTGAGCGCACCTAAATTCTTCATTTTTTGGGAAATTGGAGGGCATTTTTTTTTTTTTTGTGAAAAATTTCTCTTCTCTTCTTTTTTTTACCATTTTTTTTGTTCCAAAAGATAAAAATTCTTCCAATTTTTTTCTTTAATTTCGTTGAGGTTTTTGGCTAAATCGGTTTGATAAAGTTTTTGGCTTATGATGATATTTTAATTATCTTAGCGGATTTCAGTGAGATTTCTATCAATGATCTGATTGTTACACACACTGAAGCCATTATTTAATATTTCATTTCAATTCTTGATTTCAAACCTTTTGCTTATTGTTTTGTTTTGTAATGTATAACCTTAATTGGGTTAGTTTTTTAAACTTAGGCTAGAGTTTCTCTCGTAATGTGTGCAATGATGAGATGAAAACACTTAGTGTTTTTGGGCAGTGGACGTGATCTATAAGGTTGCGCCGTGAGCCTGTTTTATAACGACTTCTCCTTCCACTGAGCACTATATGGGTACCCAATTTAGATTTGCAATTGCATTGTATAGTAGCTGAAATTGTTCTACACCTTCCTGGTTTATGGTGGTTGTGTTTTTTTAGTGTTATTTTTATCATCAATTGCGTCCATTACCAATTCTCGGGGATATGTTGTTCCTCTAGGTATAATGGCTAGGACGCTATATTTATGTTGTGGTCATCCTGATTGATGGTTTCTTTATAATACCATTTGGTCTTGGAAACGCCACCAACATTGTTACTCCTTTCTTTCTAGTTTAAAATTAATACAAAGCTTTATTCTAGGAAGTCTTCTATAACTAATAGAAGATCGAATCTGTTTTGTTAATAAAACTAATATTTTGAATTCCTAAGTTATTAATAACTCAACAATTTTAATAGAGAAATTTATATTTAAGAGTGAAGGCGATAAATTGTGCAGCAAGCACAATCAGGGCATGTATGTTTTTCCTGTGAAAAAATACGTAGTAATGACATGAAATCAAAAGTAGGCATCAAGTGCACATCTTTTTGTGGCTTCGGGCTAATAACTTAGTGTGCATGATTCCTGCAACCAGACCTGTGTAGTTCAGAAATCAAACCATCAATCTTTCAAAATAAAGATTCCAAGTGCCTTCTTTGAGTTCTATTTTAAAATTGAATAAGTAATGAACCAAGTTCAAACTTCTCACATGTATCTAACTTCTGATTTCGGGCTCGCAACTGGTAGAAACCAAATTCGTTTCTGAATAACATACAGTTTGCCAATGGAAAAACTAAGTACCAGATCACGAAGGTTGGCGAATTGGAATTGAATTGGTTTAAAAGAAAACATAGTTGTGGAATGTAGTGCAAAATGTAAATCATGAAAATTTCGAAATGAACCTGAACTTTGGGTTAAAAGTGAAATCATTAAATATGAAAAATCATAATCATACAAAGGTGAAAATAAATATAAAGTATTAAATTTGAGAAATTATGACCATATAAAGATGAAAATAAATATAATCGTTGGATCAATATAAGATTGATTGGTAGTTAGTTGGTAGTAATACAACTTGTTTGTTACAATATCTTTTCCCAAAATGTTTAGCTAATTTCTTGTGTGGAACCAATGAATTGAAAATTACAATTGATTCTTCCTTTGCAAACCAAATTCATTTCGAAATACTGAGCAGTTTTCCAATTTATAGAAGATCAAAAAACTAGATTGCGAAGCTTCCTGAATTGATTCAAGTAATTTTGTAGAGGAAAAAGATAATCGATCCAATTCAAGGATTTGAGATCAAAATGTCGTTTTACTAAATTTTTTATTCAAATGCCATGCTATCACGGGTAGCGAATTTCGTGGTCAATGACTTCATGACACGTGGCTATATTGCAGATCAAATTCGCTACCGGTGCTAGCGAATTATGACATATTAGTTTTTTTTTTGCGAAAATGTGTCACATGTCATAAAATCATTGACGAACATAATATGCTACCAGTCGTAGTGAATTATGCTTATGTGGCAGTCTGGTAAAAAATACTGTTCGCATGGTATTTGAATAATTTTTTTTTTGTTAGAAAGTGGCAATTTGGTCACTGTTTCCCAATTCAACTGGTTATTTTATAATATCATTCAATTTCTTTGTCAAAAAATACAAAACATATCAATTCAAATCAGTCTTTTTTTATTATAATTTGATATTCATCAAATTTATTAAAATATAATAATATCAAACAAAATACATCAAATACAAATTTAAACTAATTTATTAAAATAAAATGTGTGAATGTGCACATTGAACATGGAATTCTTTAAGCACTTCGAGAAACTTCTAAAATTGAGCATTAGGGGCTGTTTGGTACACGGATTTTTTTTTCTGATTTTCGGGGAACTGAAATTTTTAAAATTTTAAATTTTCAGATATTATCGTAAACTGAATGTAAAAATCATATATTTGAAAATCGAGATTCCCGGACAAATAAAAATTTCTCCTGTACCAAACGTTAAGCTTTTGCTTAGCAAAATGGTTGGAAAACGGGAGATACAAAAGGCTTCTCACTTTGCTTTTTCTCCTTTTTACCAAACACATGTCTCTCTCTTTTTGTTGTTGCAAGTAATGGAAAATAAACTACTTTGAAGAACAAAGTCTTGGGCTACAAAGTCTTGGGCTAGTAGTGCCCATCGAATCCTTATACAACAGGACACTACAAAGTCTTAGAGGGGACCTCATGCATATTATGCAAATCCCAATCCAAAAAAGAATGACCCAAAAACACTAATTTGTTCGCCACCATGTTGCCTTCCTTATAAGAGTGGTTCTCTCCCAGTTTCTCCTCAATAGCTTGTTAACTCTGTTAACCATCATGACCATAAGATGATGCCTCTCGCAACGTTTGAGCTTTCTTTTATTGCCTTCTCACTTTTCTCTTGAACTTTCCCTTTGCCATAATTCTCCTTCAAATCTCTGTTATTGCTCATGAGTTTGAGAAACTATCAACTAGAGTGTATTCCATGGCAAATTATTTAACTTAACCTAGGTATTGGATTTGTACCGTAGGGATCTATAAGCCCTCTATGTTCCCTTCAGGGATGAGTCACTGTATGGATAATACCCTTATCACAGGTACAGACCAAGCTAAGATGTACTTTTCCCAGTATAACAAGCAATCAAAAATGGATAAGTAAGCAATAGTATGACTCAAAGTAAATGGGCAGAATTACAATACATAAGATGTCCCTTGGTGTGCCCAAGGGGGCTATTTATAGGGGAGGTTGTATGAGCCTCTAACGGGTTGGTGAGGAGGGGGTCAACCCTTCTTGGGGTCCGCTCCTGATAGCATATGTCGTGGGGCGTGACAGTCGCTGCTATGATAGCAGTGATGCGCCTGGTGGTGTCAGGTATGTCAAACGTGGCCAGTTCCCTTTAACGGCATCTGGGGCGACTGCCTTTGGGGGTTGGGGTCTCGAAACGGGACATTTCGGTGCTTCCCTTAGGACGCGTTGCAGTGTTGGGGGATGGGAGGGTCCACGTCAGCCCTAAGGGCTGACGTAGGCTGGAGCCTTGGACTGGGCCTGAGCCACTGGGCTGCTTAGGGGTTGGGCCATCCGGAACAGGAGCCCCCCAGCCTGGCAGCAAGCGTAGGTTGGTGCCAAGTTACGGTCTTTGGGCGTCCCTTGGCTGTGTCGCCGAGGTACCTGGTTTGGGCGTCATCCAGACTGGTATCGCCCAGGCAAAGGATCTGGGCATCACACTGACCGGTTTGGGCGTCATCCTGACTGGTATCGCCCAGGCAAAGGATCTGGGCGTCACACTGACTGGTTTGCCAAGGCAATGGTTTGGTACCCATCCTCTTACATTCTGCAAGGGTGTTTTGGGTCTTTTGTCTTTCTGACACGGGGGGTGTCTCTTCGAATTTCGAGGAGTCACAATGATGGCTTTTTCCATCATTGCGAGTAACTGCAGGACTCAAACGTTACGAGGCATGCCACATTAATGCGACGTGTCATCACGCTTCGCGGCGCATTAATGCGACGTGAAAAGTGTCTTATCCTTTTGAAATTACCATCAAACCCTTCACTGCAATCGCTGATCATCTGACGGTTATGATATCCTACGATTGAAAGACCAAGAAGCTGTACACGTGTACATCATCTTGGTTTATCTCCTCCTTTAAAAATGGGGCTCGTTCCCCCCTGAGGGCTTTCGTTACGCTATCTGCTGCTCTTCCTGTCTCTGCAAATTGCGTTGTGCTCTCCGCTCTTTGCCCTAGTGCTCGTGCTGGTCCTCCTTTCTTCACTGTCTGCATTATCTCAGGTACAATCCTCCTTCCTTTGCACTTCTTTTTGCTTCGCTTCTCTTCTTCTTTTTCCTGGGGATGGTTAAAGTAACGGACGTGCCTGGGTTGTTCTTACCTGAGTTGGAGGTTGAAATTAAGGAGGAAGAATATGATGAAGCCTTCGACACACTCGAAGGCTGTACTGTGGGGCCAGCTATGCAGGAATATCTTGCTAAGCGTGGTGGGGAGGTTAACAGCTTTCCCTGCTATCGTTCTCTAGTTCCCGGGGTTGAGTCGTTACCCCACGGTAGGGTTCCTGAGCTTCTGGGTTTTACTGAGGATGAGATTCAAAATCTCCTGCCAGGACGGGCTTTAGGGCCTGTGCTTCCTTATTTAGGTGAAGCGTCTGGCTCTCGTAGTCGCGGTGGGCGTCAGGTGTCGGGTGGTGAAGTCGCTTCTGGGTCTGGTAGGCGTCAGTGTGCCAGCTCCGGAGGGCGACAGTCAGGCAGCTCGAGTGAAGGGGTTAGGCCTCGCCTTTTACGCAGTCGTCATTCAAGATCTTCCATTCGCTCTTGCGAACCAAGTGGGGGTTCGCGTCGCCGTGTTTCGCGGCGTTCTGCCTTTGGAGCAGGGCGACTTGTTCGGCCTTTGTCTTCTATTAACCGTCTACCGCAAAATCGTCCCATAGAGTATTACTATAAACCTCGCCAACCGACTTTTGACTATTCTATTGCTTTGAGTACCTCACGGGGCCATATTCCCAACATTTCCTAGTCCTTCCATCGCCGTAAATATAACGAATCTACAGATAACCGACTAGGTAGATACCACCCGGAAGATGGACGACTTGTGAAGTATGGCGTGTGGGACGCCAGATATGATGACCTGGGGCTTTATAAGATACCGCCTGCTTTGTGGCCTTCTTCCTTAAGCTACTCGGATTCATATTCTTCGAGCTCTCAAGAAACTTCTGATTCTGACGGTAAGTTGTTTAAGTTATTTTTTCCTTTGGTTGCTGGTAGGGGGGTATTAACGGTCACAAGAGTAAGGGTTGGGTGTTGTGGAGGTTCAACAGCTTTCCCCCATTATTGATCTCCTACTCGTCGGTTGGAACAGTGTTTGGCGATTGACTGTATGTTTGTCGTTCTCTTTAAGAATTTGAAGGCGATCTCTTGACTTATGGCGGCTTCCTAGGAAGGCGATTACATAGAGGCGAGGAGTTAGGTAGACCCTTTGGTGGCGTCATCATCATCAAGTTACGCTTCTGGGGAGATTTTGAACCGTGATTATCAAACTGAAACTAGCTTTGACATTACCCCAAATGGTGCATATGAGGCGAAGTGGCAAACTATTTCAGTTAGGAGCGATCAACGTGTTTGTGATACTCCTAACAGTGAATCCAGGTCTCGTTGGCGATTCGCGATATACAAAACTCATTTTACGGACTAGAAGGTAAGGTTTCCTCTGTCAGAGTTTGAGATGGGGGTACTTGC